TAGCAAACAACCCATAACAACCTGAACATGTCTGCGTGTGACAAGCAAAAGTATGCAAGAACCTCTTCTGATGGCCACTGACCTGTACAAAACCATGAACAAGATACATTAAACCAAAAGTTTGTTCAGAATCCCAGAACCAGTAAGATGTGTAGCCAATTTGTCTAAATGGGAACTTACAAACAAGCCCAGTGTTGTCAATATTGTACTTATTACAAATCTCAAAGTCACTGAGTTCAGCATGGTCAACCACTCTTTGACTGCGCCAAAAAAAAAATTCCACCAATCACATAAAAGATATCTATAACAATGTATCAAGAACAAGACCCTTTAATAAAAAATATATATATTATCAGCTCATTGTGCCATGTTTCAGATGTCCCACGTAGAGAAAATAAAACAACTTGGACAGTACCCTTACACGAGCTCTTGGGTTTTGCAAGCTTAAGTTTGAGCATGAGAAATTGAAATGAAAGATTCAATTTTGATGAGCTTTTCAAAAATACAAAATTCTAAGCTCACGTTAGGTAAAGCTTGGGAGCAGAGTCAATGGGCAAGGTGTAGCAGACGGTAACATCGCTCGAGTGAGATGGGTCGTCAACGAGATGGCATGGTATCAAGTTGAAGCCCTGCCTCGTCTTCCTCGTAATTCGCTTAACGCCGATTTCAGATTGCTCATCTGCTACAGTTCACAAACTATTCAAATTCAACAACAAATTCAGACTGTATTTGATCATAGAGAGAGAGAGAGAGAGATTGAGGAAGAGGAAGGCACCGTTTGGTTTGCGGAGAATAGCTTGACGAAGAATTTTCCATCTGAGAGACGAAGCCTTGACACTTGTTCCTGTTGTTCCAGTTTCCATTGTTGGCTGCCTTGCCACTCTTTGCGCTCTCTCTCCGTCTTCGGGGATCTACTTCAGTCTCTTCACTTTAGCAGGTTGGTACGGAAACAAAGGGTGCACATTATTTCGCGGGCGTCACGGTGTCGTTTTAGTTGGCTCGTGATTGGGCCCTCGGCTTGTTTTATGAGTTAAAGCCCATCTACCAGCCCACGGTCAGCTGCTAGCTTGTGACTTTTGTTCATTCACAATCAAAAATCACTCACA